ACCTTGTGTTGTCAATGATTACTCTTGATTACCTCGGCGAGGTCAATATTTACTCTTGATTACCTTGTGTTGTCAATGATTACTCTTGATTACCTCGGCGAGGTCAATATTTACTCTTGATTACCTTGTGTTGTCAATGATTACTCTTGATTACCTCGGCGAGGTCAATGATTACTCTTGACTACCTTGTGTTGTCAATAATTACTCTTGATTACCTTGTGTTGTCAATGATTGCCCTAGATTACCTCGGCGAGGTCAATGATTACTCTTGATTACCTTGTGTTCTCAATGATTACTCTTGATTACCTCGGCGAGGTCAATGATTACTCTTGACTACCTTGTGTTGTCAATAATTACTCTTGATTACCTTGTGTTGTCAATGATTGCCCTAGATTACCTCGGCGAGGTCAATGATTACTCTTGATTACCTTGTGTTCTCAATGATTACTCTTGATTACCTCGGCGAGGTCAATGATTACTCTTGATCAGAGCTGGTTGTAACGGAGTACAAGTACTCCAGTACTTGTACTTACGTTACAATTTTCGGTACTTTTACTGTACTCCGATACTTTTTATAAAAGTACTTTTGAGTACTTTTAAAGTACATTTTGAGTACTTTTGAAGCTAAATGAAAGGGTAAGTGCCGGCATTTCTGATCATAATTTAGGGAACAAACACCCGAGCTGGCACAGCCGATCAACCAAGAGTTAAACCTTGAGATCAAAGAACGGCCCGTCGCGTCAAAGATCAGCCACTCTCGAAAATGTGATCACAAGCGTTGTAAACTTCCATGAAACGGTACAATGTTTGCCCCAGACGGGATCACACAGAGGTGTGAACTGACCGATGGGTCTCTTTTCCCCAACCATCGCACTCGCATCTGAGCTCGCCAACTAAACTTACATCACTCGCTGGGTGGGTAAGGCCTTCACGACACTACACGTTCGCTCCAGGCAGGATCACATCGAACTGTGAACTCTTCCCTGACCATTGAAGGCAGTTTTTCTCTATTCCCGACTTTGCGAGACAGCCTGAATTTTAATTGGTGTGGTCACAACGTAATGGTGCGTAATGACAAAGACGGGGGGACCCAATCAGAGATGGAAGGCTAAAATATTTTGGACAGGTAAAGGGGAGGGGCAACTGGATAAACGTAGATAAAGATCTCGAGACTCACGGTAGGCTTAATGAGTGTATATATGGCATGCCTCATGCCACCATGCAACTGTGATTGGTCATCAAGGTTGACCACTCTTTGCTCGCCAAATGTTATAAACCCACCCAGGGGCCACGTCAGTTCATGGGTCACTGTAGATTCTTCCTTGGCTTCGTCGGCTAAGATCCCGTATTTCCCTTGCTCCCGAGCACTGGGATCTTAGGCGGAGACTACTGCAGTAGATAATCTTTGGTTACACTACACTTACTAGACTCTAGGAAACTATTGTATTTTGGTTTGCCGTGGGCGCCGTGGACTACACAGTGTGACCAAACTCTGTCTTACCACTATTAGAATCAATTGAAACTGAAACTGTGTTCTCAATGTGTATCTAACAATTTTTTAGGCTACCTACATTTCTTTTCAACTTTTTGGTGGTTCGTGCTTAAGGCCACCTTGATTCCTGGAGGATTTGTTCATGAAGAATTCAAAGCACTTTTCCATTTCTTTGCGGGCCATTTTCATCAATTTTATGTTTTTTAAGAACAACTTTGTCTCTATATTTTCCAATCTGGATACTTTCCCTACTTTCCGACCCCTAGGACTGACTTACATTTGATCAAATTGTCTAGGACTGACTTACATTTGATCAAATTGTCTAGGACTGACTAACATTTGATCAAATTGTCTAGGACTGACTTACATTTGATCAAATTGTCTTGCTCCAACAAGTTCTATTCATGATATCACTTACTAGTTGCGTCTGTTTGTTTTCACGGAAAATTTCCACCTACGTTCAGTGCGTATATTCAAATGCTTTGTATACTGTTTACGTTTGTAGTAATAAATAGCCTAATTTGTCAAATATACTGGATATGTTATTCAATATGATGTTTTGCATAAGCGCTGAAGTGTTTTAGCATATTAGCAGAAGGTACTCAAAATGTACTAATAAGTACTTTTTTTAAAAAGTACTTGTACTCAAGTACATTTTACAGGAAAGTACTTTTACTGTACTTAAGTACATATTTTAGATTGTACTAAAATTTGTACTTAAGTACCATTTAAAAAGTACTTTAACAGCTCTGCTCTTGATTACCTTGTGTTGTCAATGATTACTCTTGATTACCTTGTGTTGTCAATGATTACTCTTGATTACCTCGGCGAGGTCAATGATTACTCTTGATTACCTTGTGTTGTCAATGATTACTCTCGATACATCGACGTTCTCAATGATTACTCTTGATTACCTCGACGAGGTCAATGATTACTCCTGATTACCTTGTGTTCTCAATGATTACCCTTGATTACCTTGTGTTCTCAATGATTACTCTTGATTACCTCGATGAGGTCAATGATTACTCTTGATTACCTCGATGAGGTCAATGATTACTCTTGATTACCTCGATGAGGTCAATGATTACTCTTGATTACCTTGTGTTGTCAATGATTACTCTCGATACATCGACGTTCTCAATGATTACCCTTGATTACCTCCATTTCGTCCGGCTGACTGTGGTATTTCTGCTGACTTTGGCTGCTGCCTACAAAAAAAAATCTTGTTGCTTTTTGATTATAAAATTCGGATTTCTTTACAATAAATGTTGACGTTTGATGTGGTGTTGGCTTTTGGAGTAGTCTGTTTCTTTGTGGCTGAGGGTTTTCATTGATTTATTTATTTAAAAAAAAAATTTTTTTAATTTTTTTTAACAGATGTTGTTGCAGGTCCTTAATTTACGCCCCAATCGAAACTATTTAGATTATTTGGGGGTGGGGGCGGGGAGGAGGCGGGGTGGGGGCATGATTGATTCATGATTGAATTCTCATCATGATATTGATGGCAACTCAATGCCAAATTGGGGATGAATTTTCCATGAATAAATACTTAAGGAACAATTGAATCTTTGTTTGTTTTTCAAATTTTGTATGTGGCCTAAACTTGAAAGCCATTTTCTCAAAATTAGATCTTTATACCCTCCCTCACAAAATGTGCAATATTTCAAAAACTAGTGCTGTGAAAAATACATGGCGCTACTTATTGTCAAATATCTCCTTACCTATGGAACATAGGTTCTCCAGCTTTTGCACAATATGACTTATATCAATTTGTCTTAACAAGTGAATATTTTTTCAAACTCCAGCGCACTGTATTCTAGAAAATTCCTCAATAAACACTAATGGAAAAAATCCCAGTTGAAGGTTTCTATAGGTTTGTAAAAGTTTCTCGGGCAATATCGCTTTTAAAAGCAAGTCTGTCATTTTTTTTCTTCTAATGGCGAGCTGTGACGTAGGCCATCTATGTGTATACAAAATGTGTGTGAGAAGCGGGAAGTGCTGTAAACAATCCCATTTTCCTCGTGATGGAGATTTATCGTATTTTATGTAAGTTTATGAAGAAAAGTTGTTTAATCGGGCCTCAATTGTTGTGGAAAAAATATGATTAAGTTAAGACAAATTGATACAAACTGCTGTGCAAAGTACGGGGGACATTGGTTCACCAGTAAAAGTAAAAGAGATATTTGAGGATATGTTGCTCCACGAGTTTTATACTGCACTAGACTTGAGATATCTCAAACATTCAACAACCACTGTGTTCAGCATTGAATTTATTATTAGATGCAACCCTTAACCATGAAGATTAAAAGTAGTTCTAAGCTCCTTGCCCTTAACTCAAAATGGTCACAATCCGACTTTTGGTACCTCTCTTTAGGCCCACACACATATATAACTGTCGTCGGGGGATGTTACGTATCAGAATTCTCGTCCGGACACCACCAAAAGGACATAACTTGTCGACCTCATTACACAGACACTAGGAGGCGAATTGCCCTGATTTTTGGCATGTGCCTTTGAATTCCGAAAAAGTCTCGATTTTCGGGCATATACGACAAATATAAAGAGGTGTTTTCTATAACATCGTTAGTATTTTATTACAGTCTGCGCGGGGATTTTTTTTATTAGAACAAGAACGGCTCTGCCTATGGACCTGTACATGCCTAGTAGCGCTTCAAATTTCGCACTCTGTTGACCTCCGGTTTTGGATATAACCAAACTGTATCCCCCCCCCC